CTATTAAAAAAATACTTTTTATATAATCAAATTGATCCAGCAGTATCTCAAGATATGAGTAAGATACGTAACAAAATACAATTAAAATATTGGAGCAGCTAAAAACATCAGACGAAGATAACAGGCTATACGCAATGTATGAATAATAATGTTCGTGTGCAAAATGTGTACTATATTGATAAATGGATATTATTATAGAACAGTAAAATAATATCTTTTATTTCTCTCCATTTAACGACCACTCTTTATAACACCGAAAAAGGTTCAGTCCCTTAAGTGTCGTTATATAGAGTTTACACTGTATATTATTTCCAACTTTTAACAAAAATCGCACTCCATAAAGATTCTCAAACACAAACCTTATCAATGAAGAAACGAAAAGATGCCAAAAACTGCCATTGCATTATTCGCTCTCATTTACTACATTTTAAAATCAATAAATATCATAAATCGTTACAAAAAATAAAGTTTTACTTTATCTTCAGGATATTGGATGATGCACTGCCACATTGATTTCCACGTGGAGATAGGGATGGCGGTTATTTTTAAAGTTGGTGAAAACCACGAAATGCCCCCTGTTCCAAAAGACTTTCCCACATGCGGTAACTATCTCCCTGAAATCAGCAAACTACCAACAATAAACCCTTGCATTAAAAAGGAATCAATATATTCTTTGAAATATTGGTTCCCAACGTTTTTCGACGATTCATGTAACTCATCCTCAGGCAGTTCTTCTATTGACAGCAACAGAATTTCTGTGATAGTTTTGGTGTTAATTTTTACTAAATTCTTTTGTTAATTAGTTCGTTATTAGTAATTCAGTTATTAACAAAATCACATCACTGGAGATCACAGTTTCTGGAAATTAAACAAAATATATTTTGTGTCCCAGTGTTGTAATGACAGTATTTATTGTACATTATTTTTCATCCCACATTTGNTCCCCCATATCAGTCACTCGAAACTGTTAGTACCATGGCTTTGAGTGGTCGAAATTCACTTTTGTGAGTAGTTTGTTTAATTACTTTCTTTGTGTTAAAAATTGTTTGAAAAATTATATTTAAAGGAATTGTTTGTAAATAGGTATGCAACACATCGTACACTTCAGCATAAGAAATTGCTGATACTAACTACGTAATCACAGAAGTGACTCCTTTTTCTTGAAGGCGACTCGGCCATGCACTATCCCTACTACTTCTTCCGTTCTGACTTATCTGACTTTCTAGATACCTAAAATCAGCCACTTCTTCTAATTTTTCGTCTCGTATCTGTATATAGTAGCGGCGACAGTGTGCATCCCTGTCTGACTCCCTTCCTAATATTTACTTCTCTACGTTGCAGCCCCAGTTTAATAACTGCCTGTTGCTCTTTATACAAACTATGTATCACTCTTTTATCTCTGTAACTCATCCCTACATATTTGGTAAAACCTTAAGAAAAAACAACTATTTTTATATTACATACAGACCTTTCAATTTTATTTACTTACATATACAGTGTAAACTCTTTATAACGTCACTCGATTTAACGACAAACTCCTTAAAACGTCGAAATTGCTTGACTTTGGTTGGTTTACATTGTTTTCTATACAATATTACACTCTATATAGCGTCACGCTCACTCTATTTAACGACAACAATGCGGCATTATAAATCATTNGTTTAAATTTCAAACTACTTTGAAGTTTTAAACGGTTACCGTGTTTAACTGAATTCTTGATTTCGAAGTCTTTAAGATTGGTTTAAGTGTGAGTGTAAAATGGAAACACCTCGTTCCCGAGAAAATTCGATGGACAGAAGCCGTGAATCTGTACACGTCTTTTGCAGACTAAAACCATTAGAAAACGAGACAGAAACTTCTATAAAACTACTATCACCAACTACATTAACTATACGTTCGACTGCAGATAAATCTACAAAAAGGGATGTACATTACATATTTAATCATATTTTCACATCATATTCTTCTCAAAAAGAAATTTTCGACCATGTCGCTTTGCCCCTTCTAGAAGGTGTCATTAACGGAAAGAATGGTTTACTCTTTACATACGGGGTCACAGGGTCTGGTAAAACATACACTTTAACAGGTGAGCCCAATAACCCTGGAATTATGCCTCGGTGTATAGACACATTATTTAATACAATTGCAAATTTTCAAACACAAAAATATGTGATAAAGTCTGATAAAATGAATGGGTTTGAAATTCAGTCAGAGAGTGATGCTGTTGAAGACAGATTTAGAGAAACTAGAACAAATAAAATATCCAAAACTAATCGAAGAGCTATGGGAGACTGTAAGTCTTACTATACAAACGATGGTTCTAGACTTACAAACTTAAACGAGAACAGTTTGTACTGTGTGTTCATTAGTTACATTGAAATCTACAATAACATTGTGTTTGATTTGCTTGATGAGTCTACTTCCACAAGACCAGAATCGAAAATTTTAAGGGAAGATTCTCAAAAAAACATGTACGTCAATGGAAGTGTCGAATTAGAAGTTAAATCAGCAGCAGAAGCCTACGAACTATTTTTCAAAGGGCAGAAGAGAAAACGTATGGCTTACACGGCACTTAATGCAGAATCTAGTCGCAGTCACTCAATTTTTAATATTCGTATTGTGCAAATAGAACAAGTTGCACAAAATAGTCATGGACAAGCTGCAGTTCCAGAAAATAATATAATGAGGGTGGGACAGTTGAGTTTAGTGGATTTAGCAGGTTCAGAAAGATGCAGTCGGACACAAACTACAGGTAAATAATGTTGTAAATTTTACAAATCATTTAATAGTAAAGCATATTTCACCGGTCTGAAATAAACTCACTGTACTTACATACATACCCTGACAGTAATATATATCAATATTATTTCGTATATATCTCATACATTAAATATTAATTGAATTTCTGAATTAATTTTATTAATAGTAATTAATAAACATTCTGAGCTGGTTCATAAAAATTCCAATAGTGTGAATTGGCTATTTAAATGCCTTACTTATTTGGATATCAACTTATTACTCAATTTATGTTTATTAATGTCCATTTTTTTTTATTAAGGCTTATGTGTAACATTTTCATTATGCAGATGTTAAATAGTGCCTTATTCAGGGTCTAATGTTATAATGAATTTTACTAATGTTTGTAAATATGTATATGTTGCTTAGTATCTAAGACCTTGTGATACTAATATAGAAAGTTCAAAAAATAGTTATAAGATTTTTTAATTATCATCGTTATCTTAGGTTTTAATAAAATAATATTTGACAATATAATCTGTGCTTAAATTATTTATTACCTAAACAAGCTCATCCCCCATATCAGTCACTCGAAACTGTTAGTACCATGGCTTTGAGTGGTCGAAATTCACTTTTGTGAGTAGTTTGTTTAATTACTTTCTTTGTGTTAAAAATTGTTTGAAAAATTATATTTAAAGGAATTGTTTGTAAATAGGTATGCAACACAACGTACACTTCAGCATAAAAAATTGCTGATACTAACTACGTAATATTACTTTGCCTTGTGCTGACAGCACTCATAAAATTTCTTTTATATATTTATAGTATTTGTACTTCTCATTGACACTATACAGGTAAGAAAAACGTTCAGCAAGCAAATAAATTACACATTTATTTGTCGGTATCTTTTCTTTGATGTCGAACACCCCCATAATCGCAACAGCTCGACTATTTTTCTATCTTTTTCCTACCATTTACCTTACAAAAAATACTCAGATATTTTAATTTTACTTTTACCATTTATCTTATGAAAAATGCTTAGATATTTTACTTTATTTATAGTCTGAGTATTCATTTTTAAATAACTATTTCAATACTTTTTGTAAATTGTAGGGGCCAAACATCCCCCAAACATAATTGAAATGTTGCTGTGAGATATTCAATATTGACTTTGAAATTTTATCTATTGAATAATGTTTACCGTGATTTATTACTAAAAATGGTGAAATATGAATCTCCGTTTCCATAAGGTATGTAATATGTTACATATTTTTAAAAGCAAGATTACCTACGTATTTAAATTTTAACTCCATTAGAAGCCTTTTTTCACCATTGCCAGTGAAAAGGTATTAACTTACTTATTGATTAGTACAAAGTTTATCATTTATACAATACACATCATTGTTCAAAATATATAATCGTAGATAAAATGTTATTTGTTTAAAACAGTAAAATTACAAAGAAAATTAAGATTTTACTACCCTCCTTCTTCCAAGATGTCGGTCGCATATGTGTAGATATCGACCAAGTCCGATCCTGACTTCTGAGAGTCAGATAGAGGTCTTTCCAAAATTAGGTCAAACTTTTCTAAAATTTCCTGCACTTCGGGTAGCATCCTTTTAACCTCTTTTTCCGCCATTTCCGACATGGGATATTTGTCATAGGGCATCCATCTACCCTCAGTCAATTTCGATGGTTGTGAAAATATAAGACCATAAGGTATACCAAATGATCCTAGTGGTAAATGTGACTTAAGTCAAGACTTACAGTCCAAAATTCGGGTAGAAAAAATATTTTAATGACATAAAAAAATGGGTTGTCTGTAAAGTCGGTTTACTGACGATAGTTGAACGTGACAACGTCATAAGAAAATACTGATGGAATGGTTTCATTTTTCAAAAGAAAATTTTAATTTTATTTGTTTGATAGATATTTTGTATGGATATAGAGAAGGAGGTAAATGG